ATGTCCATTGTGTACTAAATAATAGTAATAGTGATAATGATATCGCGTTTCGTGTGAATAATTGAACGCCAACCTTCGATGGTATTCTGAAAATTACACAGAACAATGTTGTTATGAGGTCGACTGTCGCGTTTCCCTCACGATTTACTCATCACTCTCTATTCGATAGAGGTCACGATTTACATGCTGCATTTAGTTTTTGTTATAACTGATCTGAGGTTGGGTGTCTAAACTTTCATGACGGCTAAAAGCCCATGAACTTATTATAGCCTTAACGTAAGACTACGTTAATTATTAAACTAACATTTGATTAAATAAAATGTTAGTTAGAAAAAATAAATATTCACCAGTTGATAAATAGTCGATCAGTATAAACTGTAAAATAGCCAACATTTTATCATTAACTTGTATCAAATTAATGCGATCCGCTTAAATTCTTTGAAAGTCGATTTTTCCCCATCCGAAAATCTGTCAATTAAAATTTGCTACGAGCTTGTACATGTTAGTATCAATTAAATTGACAGCATCGCTTTTGAATGTCAAACTAATGTGAATTTAAACCAAAAAAACTGCCATGAAAAATATTAATTGAAAAGAGAAATTGTGAGTTTTAAAGAGAGTGCATTTCATCAAAGTTTAAATTATATAAGTGTTTTTCATCTGACATAAAAAACGCTTCAAATGAATTTTTTCTAAAAACACATTNTAAATTATTTAAGTGTTTTTCATCTGACATAAAAAACGCTTCAAATGAATTTTTTCTAAAAACACATCTTCAAATTATACTAAATTAAAAATATATTAATATGCTGTGGAATCTTATAGTAAAAACCTCACGATGTTTTAAAAAGTAAAACTTAAAAATTCAAACGATAACTGTACTTTTAAAGACTAAAGTACTTTTAAGATGATTTAAAGGAATTTCATAGTATCTCGAGTATTTTTGTTAAACTTATTTCTTTGTGAAATCCGGGAAATTATTTTTATTGTACATTTTATATTAAAAGAGTGTTAACTTTTGATTAAATATTAAAAAAAAAAAAATTCTTCAAATGTTTTCTGAAGTATTTTCTGATGCGTACAACGTGTGCTTCATAAACATTAACAAAAGTATGAAAGAATATAAATAAAACTTGTGGTGTAAATCGCGTTCGTTTAGAAGATTACTAGTTCTCCGGTCGTCAGGGCGCCGTTACTGGACACCGCGTTGTGGTACAAAAGCCACCTGTTGGGGGCCTTTGATGATTCAAAATATAATAGCTTAGCTTCACTATGCAACAATGGTCCGCCAGTATTTACCTTTCACTCTTCTTTTATTTGTTATTATTCTCTTTTTTTTTTTTTTGTTTCATTATACGCCATCCCGACGCCAAATGGGTGACCAAAGAGCAATAAATCAAGAAGGCGACTACCTTTTCCCTCAAAAACATTCATGTTTAAACTTTTAAACATTTTTTATAATTTCTTCTGTGCATAAAACTCATATACGATTTTTGATTTTATATTAATTACCATCAATAAATGCATATCAGTGTTAATTTTATTATAATACTATATTTATGAGTATGGTGTACTTGTTAATAAATATATTGTGGTGTAACTGAAAATTTCACTTTGTTTGCATTCGTAATTTTGGCTCCCTTAAAAAATAGTACAGATTTTTACATAATTAACAATAAATCTCCATTAAAACTAATATGTATCAAATTAAGTAACATTCGAGTATGCATTTCAAATTTGATCAATTTTTTAGGACTATCATATGCTGCAAGAAACTAGTGAAATAAAACTAGGTTTGATTTTTACAGTAATCTTTAAAAAACAGTAGACAGATTTGTTTCGGGACTTACTATGACGTCTCTTGGGTAATTTTATCCATAGATCTGTATTGATAGGGTAAAATTCTATTAGTATGTTAGGATAGTGTCAAAGGCTAATGGAACAGTTAACGACAGAGACGTTCACGCATCCATAACTAGGTAAATTGATATTCATTGCTTTGGAGAATTATTAGCGTTCATCCGGATTACAAAACAGTAATTTTACACTGTATATATATATATATATTACACTAGTGTTGATAATTAAGTGGGTTATTTAAAAGAACATGTTTATAATTTAACTCATTATTTTTATTTTTAATTTTCAGGTGCAAAAAACCTGGAAGGTATTTAGACAACTTGCCTCAAACTTCAGTTATCGTGTGTTTCCACAACGAAGCGTGGTCCGTTTTATTGCGTACAGTTCACTCTGTTTTGGACAGATCACCGGAGCACTTAATCAGAGAAATCATTCTAGTTGACGACTTTTCCGATATGCGTAAGTACTTCATTATTAACGTAAATGATTTTGTTCCTCTAACATTTATATCCATGACAATGATTGATATATCATGCGATGTTAATTAACCCCGGAAGCTTACAAATGGTATGCGTAAAATTAGCTGTGGCATTTGAAAAATATATTTTTAATAAAACGCGGCCATAGCTCGGCACATAGCAGTGCGACATTGTTTCGAATTATAGTTAAAAATTACATTACAGCGATAGTGAATCAGCAATAATGTTAGCCCTGGAGGAAAATAATTTATTTTTGAGCTAGAATATATGTAATAATATTTACAGTATGGG